TGAAAATCTAAGTTGTGTGCAGGTTAAGGCTTCCTACCTGAGGTGACTTGTGTTTCTCAGGAAGCAGAGACAGGGACTGGTCTTTGCTGTGTTGGTTGTATCCTTGGGCAAGGCACTTTACCGTTATTGCTGTGAGAATATTTGATGGGCCTTTTGTATGTTGTTCAGTGAACTAGCTACCAGTTACTACAAAAGGACCATGCCTCAAAATGACCCTGGTTGTTCATGGGCCGATACTTGAAGCAGACTCTGAACTTTTAGTTTTCTTTGCATCTGAATTATTGTGAAATTTGTGTCCGATATATTTTTGAAGCCAGATTACACAGTATTAGAGGAAGAGATCAGTACCTGTCAAGTTAACGTCTCAAGTACTCCTGTAATAGACACCCCTTTGTTTACTTGAGGTACCTGTAGTATACTGTAAACAAAACACACCTGTCGGTGGGACAACTCTGTGTTGTAATAGGACACCTATATACAGTACTGTTAGGTGGTGTGGCTTGTGGTTGGGTAAGGTATTGCTGTGGGAAAGGGGACGTACCTATACATTTAAGGATTGGCCTGGGAATGTAAACAAACATTACACATCCACTTTAAACAATTACCTGTTTTTCTTGTCACCTTGATGTGATAAATGGTTCAATGCCCGTTGTTTTCAACTAACCTTGTTCTCTTTTACAGAGTTTAACCACAATTTGATTTCTGTAATAGAGTTTGGCTATAAGTAACTTTCAGCTCTTATTAATTAAAATGACATCAAAGGACATCAGTCCAAGCAATATGAAATCTTTATGAGACTTACAAAATTTCATATGTAGCAAATATCATTAGGAAAAAGGAATGGTTTCGTGTAAAATTGTGTTTCCTCCAGAGGTTATCGCATTTGATAAAGAATGTCTGAGAAATCAGCTTGTGAAGTAGTATCTCGGTGAAATATCAGTGAAATAAATACATAGTGTCTATTCATGTAGTCCTATTGATTTTTAAGCATGACCACTTGTGTCAGGATATGCGTGTTACAAAGTGTATCATAAAGATGTATAGGAGAAATATAACCATGGTTAGCTCTGGTAAAACCCAAGTAGCATGATCCATGCTCTGTGGAGACCTAATTCTCCACCTCTCTCGCCACAGCCAGAGACACTAGCAACTTCAATATATTGTCACGAATGTTTGGCAAAAACAAAAGAACCGCTTATTTCCTATTTTGCTTTATTTGCATATACATTCAATTAGTAACCAATCACGCAAGACCTACAGAATCAGGCTCAGGAATAAGATCCAATCAGGCAAAGTCTTCCTCAAGAAATTGGACTTCGCTGCCAATCAGGGAAATTTTTTTCTGAAAGATGTTGTTCAAGGATAAATGGCGAAATTCTCCACTTAACATGTCCATAATGTTGTATTATTTATTGAAATTTGTGTTTACTTGAATATAGAATCATAGAGCAAATTGATTATCAGTGGAGTAATGTTAAGATGTACAACAGGGATGTAACAGGTCTTCCACAGTCTTGATACAAAAATACTTCAGGGTTAAAGACTCTCTTCCATAGTAATGAAGCTCCTCTGGACATGTGTCTTAATTGTTTGTCCTTTTACATGTGTCTTAAATGTTTGTTCCTTCGTTTAAACACATTTGATTTTTTTGTCCATTTATATGTGTCTTAGTCATTTGTCCTTTTACATTTGTCTTATTTGTTAGTCCTTTTACATTTGTCTTATTTGTTTGTCCTTTTCCATTTGTCTTATTTGTTTGTCTCTTTACATTTGTCTTATTTGTTTGTCCTTTTCTTGATTTTTTTGTCCTTTTCTTGAAATATGTATCATATTTGTTTCTTTACTTGAATCTAATCCCCCTCTACATGTGTTGAATTCTTTTCTACTTTGATCTAAATTATCTTTTCATGTGTCTTATCCATTTTTACATGTGTCTTATCCATTTTTACATGTGTGTAATCCATCATTACATGTGTCTTATCCATTTTTACATGTGTCTTATCCATTTTTACATGTGTCTTATCCATTTTTACATGTGTCTTATCCATTTTTACATGTGTGTAATCCATCATTACATGTGTCTAATCCCCCTTTACTCTTAGAAATTGTCTGATGTGATGTAGCGATAAGTTCAATAGTTTTACAATCTCTTCTGTGTCTGTGGTAAAAAGGTCAGACAATGAGAGGAGATAGAAACATTAAGAAACATATTTATTTTGGTGTGTTTAGAGTCAGCAGTCATTTGTGCTTGGTCAGCAGAAACTGTTTGGTTGTCACATCTCTTTGTGTTGTGTAATATATCTGATGGTCATTACCAGCACTCCATTCAGGTAAAACACTTGGCTGTGTTTCCCTCTGTCTTTGCTGCAGGTTATTAAAATATTACTTTTGCTTATCGTTGTTATATCCCTGGATAGATACATGTTCTCATGCCAGGCTTTTGCTGTTTATCATCAACTTCATAGCCATTGGCAATGTTGATGGCTTTATTTTAACGATTCCCTCGATTCCCTCGCTAACATTTCTCTTTGATGAAATATGTGTGTTAATTTAGCAAAGTATCTGTTGCTGTATCTTGTGTGGTGGGGATTGTAGGAAAGGTGTGCACTTTTATACCTCCCTATACACTCAGGTCAGTGTTGAAGCCTTAAACGTACATGTTTTTTTTACATCAATAATGTAACTTTAGACACAGTCGTTTAACGAGCGAGCAAGTGCATGGGGATGACAAGCAATCCTGTAATTGGTGCGGAGGGATTCGGAGTGTTACGCAATGCAGCACTATCTTAACACAATAACAAGCCTGACTCTGTAAGAGACCTACAGCTCTCATCATCACAATAAAGAAACACTACCAGGAAATTCTAATTGTTAGAATTAGTTTCAGAATATTCATTGCTTTGAAAATCATCTAAATCTACCATGGTGGAGCATGAATAATGGCTGCCAACAATTAGCATGTTTTGAAATTGAAAGCATAGAGAATAGGAGAACTTGATAAAGAAGTACTGCGAGAGTTCTGTTGTCACGGGATTGTAAATATCACCAATGGCTCAAAGAATCATTGATTTACCAAAAAATATCAAATAAAAACTGGGAGGAATAGTGTAGAATGTATAATTTTCTCACAAAATGATGGAAGGATGGAATTGTAAGTGTTAAATATCGCATTAAACTTCGCGTGGTGACGTATTACCATAGCAACAGAAACGGAATGATACTGTTCTCTTAGTAATTGGAGACATTGAATTGCAAATGTTGCAAGTAGGTTTTAGAATATCTGTACAAATTCTAACAGCTGATTCTCAATCATTGAGGATGAATATATGCTGTGTGATTGAAGTCAGATGCTGGTTGAATATAGCTTGTGTAATCAAAACAATGCGTCTATCATTAACATTTCTTAACAGAAGAAAAATAAAAGAAAACATTGCCATTTGTTAGAATGTGTTAGGACGATATTTAAAGTAATGTTGAATTTGCTGTAATCTGCTCTTTGCTGCAGCTCTGCTGTTAAACATATGGCATTGGACTGCACCAGGGAGTGCACCTCACTCCAATTAAAATATCTTAATTCAGAGCATCTAGCTTGCTGATGGGGAGGCGACACCAGGTGCCAACTCAGAGAAATAGAAATGTTGAAAGCAGTGCTTGTTTTTAAGTAAATTGATGAGTGCTAAGTTCAATGTTCTTTAATTGCCTTTCAACTCACTCATTATGAGCCTGCAGTTAAACAACAATGTAATGATTTTAAAATTTGAATTGTAATTACCTATCATTGATTTGAATCTAAATGATGCTGTAGATTTATTTCCTTATAAAGGAAACCCATTTCTATATTATGGTTGTAATTCTAGCGTCCTCATCCCCAGGCTACTCCCTCCTTGGGCAGGTACAAAACAACCAGACAGAAATATGTTTACTTAGAAATGGAATGCTATGATACTTGAGTAGGAATGTAACAGATTACACAAGCCTTCTTTAGATCTGTACATGTTACTTACAGACAATCAATCCAGTAGACACATCAATTAAATTGAAAAGATATTGATCAAACTAGCTGGGGAAACTATCATCATTTCATCTGTCTACTGTACTTAGTACAAACAGGCTCATTAGAGTTACCTGGCTCCTAATATTACTCCCATTGAAGATCCATGTATCTAACTTAGTGTATCAGGTAGACTTATAGGAACGATGAGCTATATATACCAGACTAACAAGCACCTGCCTGTATTAATGGCTTCTAAATTAACTGAAGCAGCAATTATCTGTTTATTTGAAAGTAACAACACTTGTGTATCTGAAGACTTGTTCATTATAGTAATATTTCTACTGCTGTAAACCTACATCATTCTCTAAAATCAAATTCTAGCACATTATCTTTTTTTTCACAAATGAGCACATCAATAACTTCATGCTCTCTTTATGAATGAAACAGAATCACCATAGATAGATAAAATGTGATCATATTGTAGCACAATACTTTCAGCTCAAAAAGTGCTATAATCAGTTTACTGCTATAATTTGTCCTTTTGCAATACTCTGTAATATGTGGGTATATCCCTTTCACTATCCAATATATGAGTGTAGCTAGGCCTACTAGGTCTACAGAACAAAACAATATAAGGTTCTATGCGTAAAATGTCTCGCCATGTTACATCTCGTTCTAAATTAATGTTATATCTTAGAATCTCTTTTAAATTTGGTCCATATTTATCCTAATGTGTTAAACCATTTAAGTTCTATTCCTGATCAGATTCTGGTTTACATAGGAGGAAGGGTTGGTAATAAGACCACACTCATCTCCCCCACCCCTCCAGGTTTATTGTAGAATAATATACATTGTAATCAACTGTAAAATGACCTCAGTGACCTAGTTTCTGTCACACTGACATGCAGTTTGCATTCTGTTTTCATTCTGCAAACATATTTTTTACCTTTCTTGCTTCTTTCTTTAGTTATTGTGTGTTTAACTTTTTTTCTGACTGATTTTCCAGGTTTCCATATCAGCCCAGAAGTCAGCAGAAGCATATGAAGAGGTTGTCATCCAGGAAGGCAATGCTATCAGGAAGAACATGTACTTCGACAATGACCAGCGCCACCTATACGCATTCACAGATACAAAGGTAGGTAACCCTTAGTGCCTTATATGCCTAACAGACATTAACTGGACCAAACACACAAGGTCAAGTACACATTGGGGTGATAGATGTTTGATCATTTTTGTTTGGTAGAAAAACAAACCAGTCATTGACAAAGAAATCATAACATTTCAGATAATTCTAAGTAAGAAAAGCTGATTTGTAGGTAGCTTCAGTTTTCCAAAAGCTTCTGTGTTATTAATTGAAAAATGATGGGTTGAAGGTCGAGTTAATATTAACATTATGTCTCTGTTACTGTCGGATCCAACTTGAGGGGAATCAGATGGAGAACTTACTGTATTGATTGTGTCATTACTCAGTAATTGATGTCAGAAGGTTTTATGTGAAAAGGAAATAACTGTGGTACTTTCAAGGTTGTCTTTCTATCACAATGTTACAGTGAAATCAGGGATGATATTCCTATTTGAAAATGCTGATTAGGGAAATCGTTGTAAGAATCTTGTGGTAATTTCTGTAAAATGTGTCCTCTGTGAATCAGCCATACTGGTATAGCTGGGTTTAATTGTTAAACAAAGGCTCCAGATCCAATAATTAGAGCCTCAGGACTCCAGAGACCAAGAGAATATTTCACTAGCAGCAGCAATCTGTATTTTTGAGTTTCAATGTGGAGACAGAACTGTATCTAGACATCATAGCTAGCAGTTTATGTACATATAGTCCTCATTCTGTAGGGGCTGTTATTGTCAGAAATGATAGAATGTTTGTGGGTTCATGTCAGAACAAGAAAGATAGGATTCCACACGAAGTAGAGAATATCATCAAACTAGTTACTGTAAAACTGACGATAACAAAAATAAAACAGTGTGATTAGAAATGGCTGATATTTTGTAACCTTTTTTTCAACTTCTCTGCATTACATATTAGTATATTGAACAAATATGTCAGCTAACATCATATCAATTATCATCTTTTTGAGGTTTCATGGCAATAGAGGAAATAACTGTCATTATTGTTTTCTTTTCTCATTTACAATTTGCTATAATTCCAAAAGACAAAAGGAAACACATATCTCACTTAGCGCACCTTTTTAAGGGATCGCCGTATTCATCCTTAGTTGCTCAATTGGAAAACAAAAGATAAAAAAAAAAAGCCAGATTGAAATAGATTGATGGCTAAGGACCGTAAAATCCACTTCATATGGCGCAAGGTGATGGCTGGAAACCAAAATTGATCAGTCCATTCAATCTATCAAGGCCTAGGCTCCTTGTATGTAGCCTGGGGGCATGATGGAGCAGCACATGGCAAGCATTGCTTGTTCCGTTTACAGAGCTGGGGGCCACTACAGATTTGTTAGACAAATTGTGGGCTTTTAATTTCAAGTAAGGTCTGAGGAACAAGACTATGTGATTAAGATGAAGTTATGCTGTTTGATGCTTGTCTCTAAAGGTGTATTATTTTCTGGCTGTGTGGAGGAAATCACATACACAAGCTCCTGACAAAATTTCAACATAGATATTGATTATTGTAGAAATAGTTTGTCTAGAAGAATCTGTCTTTGTCATTCTTTCCATTTAAGAGAAAATTGAAATTCTCGATAGAAGATTTTTTCTCTCAAGTTTTCGTGACTATGCTTATGATTATGGTGAAATATATGTACGTCATACAGTGTGCATTGTAGATGCTACCGCATACCTAGACCTAAACGACCTTGTAATGTAAAGGGTTTGTTTTAAAACCAAAATTACATTTTCTAGGTACATGTGTATCTTTATGTCTTTTCCCATGGAGTGAAGGTAGTTATTTCCTTTGGAGAACAACTCTATATTCCTAATATGGACATTGATTACCATGCCAACATGCAATTTCCTGAAGCTGTTGGTTACTGACAGGAATCGTGAATTTCGATCTCTCTGGATGGATGTTATATAGAAAATTCTGCCATGTAATAACGCTTGATACTATTTATATTGATATAATATAGAATATCACATCACGTAGAAGACAGTAACATGTGAGATAAATGTACGATAATCCTCACATTACTATATTTATCAGGACATAAGCCTAAGGGCTGAATTTACTATCATTGATTTAAAGGAGAGTGTGGGCTTATTACATCACAATGAAAAAGCATTTTACTAAAACTACGAGAGTTGAGGGTGGGCTTATTACAGGACAGTGATAAAGCATTTTGTGACATTTCTGCTAAAACTTCAGTAGTTGAGAGTGGTCTTATTACCAGGCATGGACTTAATGGTGAATAGATACGGTATGTTTTGTTTGTGCCTGTTTGTCAATGGACTGAAGCTAAAGTCTAACAATGACCAGAGAGGAAACGGTCAGTTAGCTATGATGGATGACACTTGTTGGGTCATCTGTCATCATTGACATGTGGGTGTGAGAATAAGACATGTATGGTCAATAAAACAGTTGGTCAACCTGCTTCATGTATTTTTTTTACTAGTCTGTGTCTTGTTAATGTTTTTCATTGATCTGTGTCCTGGGCATGCTTGATTGACCTATAATTTGAAATATTATCAGTGTTTTCTTAACACTTTTTTAATGGTTTCTGGACCAGAGGTTTAGAAGGTTTGGAATATCCTTTGATTTCAATTTCATACACTCTACTTAAACACTAGTCTTTATTGATCACGGTCAAAACCTTCTACAAATATACATACCTGCCAATTTGCTTTGTAAGAGTTTCTTTAGGTTAAGTTACCAATTCTCTGTGTTGTTAGAAGAAAATATTACCAACAGAAAGTAGAAATCTTTTGTTTGGAGGTATCATTTGTATTATCGGCTAACCATTCACCTATAATGAGCACACATCACTCACACGCACTAATATTCATGCAAAAGTCAATGGGATGTTTTTTCCTCATTAGTTTTTGTTTTAACACTGAGCGGGTAAATCTGACGTAAACCTCGTAAACCTCGCTGACATAGTTGTCTTGATCTGAAAGACCATGCGTGCACGGCAATCTAGCAAATACCGTCATTAAAAACAAAGCAAGGTTCTTCAGAACATCAGAGAGAGCTGGAAACAAGTTACCATTAATTCAAAGTATCCATAAATAATACATTAATTGCTTTTACATTTACCATCATACCTCCTGAAGCTGGTATTCTCACCCCGTACCCAACACTGCTACCGCCTACATCAATGATTTGGCTGAAGTTCCGCTGAAGGATATAAAAGCACCATTTACAATGTTGTCAGGATATTGTGATATTGTCACTAAAAGCTTTCCTCTGGGGTCCAAACATAACTCTAGCTACAGATCTTTCATTGTAAAATTTTCACAATCTGTTTTTGAAATTTTAAGTAGAGAAAGGAAAAAAATAAAATACAGATTATTAGGATAAAAAGTAGACGCTGTAAAACGTTTTTATACTGAAAGGTTGTATATGTCTGGCAGGTTGCTGTAATACAAGATAATGTTTGGTTCAACATATTTCATCCCCCAATAATCCAAGGGAACAACAATACATACATTATGGTTGACTCTAAGTCAGGGATGGGCTTATTATTGAACACTTAGATACTTTTAGTTGGTAATGCTATAGAACAGAAATGGATGAGCTTATTACCAGACATGGCTTATTATCAGTTATGTTACCAAAAGGTATTTGTAGGAGGAATTTTTAAATTCAAAGTATGGCAATTATGATCATATGAAGGTCAAAACACTTCCTATCGAAACAATGCAAGATTACTTAAAAGACTGAAATCCTGCTGATTGGTACCATGGAGATATTCTTGGGAATAACCATGGAAGAATTTCAACAGATTTATAAAAGATTTTATGATTTTTCATTGGGACCAATACCATTAACTCCATTCTAAAGAAATCAGTAGAGTTGATAAGACAAATCATATTTCTTAATTTCTTGATTAATTTTGTTTAAGACCTGTCATAAACAAGAAGGCGGATTAAAATGTTTATTTGTTTTTTAACGATGGAATGTTATGAGAATATCATCAATTACAAGGGCACCTGTTACTCATGAAACATTGTGTATATGTGCGTGCATGTGTGTGTGTGGGGGGAGGGGGAGTAATGGAGTTGCAAACCACAAGTCACTGTCAAATCAGCACTGGAGTCACTCAAGCATGAAGTTTACGAGGGGACTATGGAGACTGATAAGAAAACAATGCCTCAGCATCGTTCATCATTGACAGTGCACTGGATTGATGTGCTATTGATTTCTAAGTTGGTATCAAAACTTATCGCCAAAGCTTCTCTGCCTGGCGTCTCGCCTGTGCCAAATCATGGAAGTTGACGTACTCCAAGTCAGGAACAACATTATAGGTACATGGTGAGAAAAGCACTTCTGTGATACCGAGTTTTAGATGTAGAAAGTTTCTCTGAGTGCGGAAAATTCAATTTCTCGTTTGTCCCCTGACACATGTATATGGCAAGACTCAAGCTTAATTATAACAAGTCAGCTACACTATTGGTACAGTCATCCATGTTCTCAGTACAGTGATGGCAGACTTCATACACAACACTTATTCAGAAAACATTCAGATCACAATAAAAGCAGACATTGTGAAATATGTATTCTTAACAAAGTCTGAAAAATTGTCTTAATTTAGGAATAGACCCTGTGACATATTACACGTGATGAAAAGGTCATCAGAAGACATCATAAATACACTCAGATGACCTCCATATGTAAACAAGAAGTATGGACATATGATAAATCCAAAAATGGCAGGGAAAAAATCTTTCTTACAATATTTATAAAACATTATCGTGATGTGATAAAGAGTATCTTCAATGCCATGAAGTCAGACAAGGTTCTGTTGCTTATTGAAAATTCTTCCTATCAGCGTGTCAGAGGCTCATTAAAATAAACAAAAACATGTGCCTGGTATTGAATATAGATCTACTTGTGTCAGAACATTGGTACTGCGATCGTCTAAATTACAAGTTTATTGTAGGAGCCACCCAGGATGATACGGACATTTAAGCTTGGAATATAACCAAACATTATATAAGTAGAGAGTTTTATAG